AAGAGAATTGGGCCCATGTTGAGCAGCAATAATGAATTAAACTGAATTAAATTTTGATACGTATTAGAGATATGTTAGTTACTATATAAAGTAATATACTTAATTAGTCCAGGAAGTCTGTTAAATATTACATAAGGTTACCAATGAGCTCCTGCAGGAAGTGAGCGAGCTGACATTTGTAGGTCTCCTCACATGAGAACCTGGTGGTAGCTCTGGAGACATCCACAGACTCCACAAATGGGCTTAAACTCTCCCCCTCTAATTGCTTAGTGACCCAAAGTTTTATGAAGTCTGATGGAATGCAAAGGAGCCCACTGTGCCACAGCTTGCACCACGGCCCAGAGAAGCCCAGCTCATTTCTCTACAGCTGCTCTGTTTTCCATCTGCCTGAGAACAGAGCTGGCTTTGATTAGAAATGTTTTAGTCCTTCCCAAATCTCTTTTTGTCACTCCTTACCCACACTGCTTGCTGCCATTAAGAGTATTAGAAACAAAAGCCAGTCTTGCCTCTTAAACCAGCCCCTGATGGGATCCATCAGGATGGACCATCCCCAAATTTAATGGATACTTTTTCAACAGAGCTTTAACATTCACTCCTCCATGTGGCAAAATGCTTCTAGTGTGGTTGGTAGCAGCTGCACATGGATTTCACATCCTCATATTCAGACCCTGCTGTCTCTATCAGAAAACATCTATCGTTCTGAACAGCAGCTGCCAACTCAGTCCAAGCTGACAGATGCAAGATGACTTCTGGTTTCATTCCCCACTGTGCTCTGAAATTTTCATTTCAAAATACAATACTGAATTGGCCTTGACAAGAATCAGGTGTGAACTCTGATCAGACAGTTACTTCATTACTAATGGCATTACTCATCCTGCTCTGCGGTGTTTTCCTCCCCCAGAGTCATTAAACTCAGCATTCCCCTGTTCACAAAAGTGCTGTTGGATTGAACAAGTATAGAAATATGACTTTTTGTGGTGACAAGGCGATTTGTAATTTTAAGGAGCTCGTTCCCAAGAAGCCAAAAGAAGTCGTGGCAGTTCAAGACTATGAACTATGAAAAGTCTCCCTCTGCTAAAGGATGCATTTTTTAAAGCTTTGAGAGTTGGTTTTGCAGGTTATAGCTGGAAATAGAGACAAAGAACAAAGGAAGGAGAGGGAAGAAGAAAGGAGAAGAAAGAAGTGGAAAGGTACAGGACATGTTTTGAGTGGACACACATTGTGCCCAGATGGGGACAGTTCCTCTCCAGAATTTGTGATCCTTCTCATGAACACGGTGGCTTTGTGGCCATTTGCAGCTCTCAGCACATGTTGCTTTGGGAATGGAGATGTTAGATCCTCTCACCTTTCTGAAAGCTGGCTCCCAGGTTACTTCTTAGCATTTTCAAGGATTATTCTGGTCATCATCATCTTTGTTTGACATCAGACTCTCTCAATTATGAACTTTGCAGTATGGTAAGGAAGAGACCTTCTGCCACCAGCAGAAGCTGTTTTGACACCTGGCTGAGCTGGATGAAGCAAATCACCAGGATTTCATCATGTCCCAGCCAGGTTTGAAATGCCGTGCTGGTTTTCAGTCCCGATAGCTCCCCGAGTTTTGCCAGACAAGTTGTTGTTTGGTTTATTTTTAAGAGAAATATATATCAAAGAGTTTCACTGCAAAGGCATCTCCAGCATGAGAAATGCTCCCCTGGCATTTTCTGTGCCCTACTCGTTGGTGCTACAAGTGAAATATTTATACTGAGGGTTTGTGCTGTATCTCGGGGGTCTGGCAAAGAAGGAGCTCAAGGGCTCCTTGAAGATTTTGCCCTCAGCCACTCTGGAATCTCTTTCCTCTGCCACACTACCCTTCTCTTCACCCATGTGTGCTGGTAACTTGTGAAGGGATATCAAAAAAGGGAATTTTCCAAGCAGAATAAACATGTCCCACAATGAAAGGCAAAAGAAAAGGAAATAAAGGGACAGGTTTCATAGTGACAGATACTTGTGTGAATGCCAGAGGACTTTCAACTCTTATCAGTAAAGACATGAACACAAAGAGGTTTTTTAATAATCTCTTTCTTTAAAGTTTGTTTCAGAGACAATCTGGCTCCATGGGACAGAAGTAAGCAATGGAAAAACTACAGCTTGTGCATATCCTCCTAGTTCTAGGTTTGTAGAGAGCTACCTGTGGGCAAGATGGTGCAGACAAGAGAAGACTTTTTGACTGTGAGGGCAGTCTGGAGGGCAGCTGGAATAGGTTGTCTAGAGGGGTTATGGAGTCTTCATTCCTGGAGATATTCAAACCCCAACCAGACAAAGCTCTGGCCGACCTGCTGTGTCTGACCCTGCTGCAGCAGAGGAGTTGGCCTGGAAAATCTCAGCCTGAACCATCCTGTCATCTGCCACCCCCAGCTCCTGCTTCTCAGGCACAACCTCAGAATAAACAGAATGAGGCTCAGGAGAGCTGGGAGCTGAGCTGCAGCTCTGACCATCTGGGATGGTTCCACTGTACAGATCCACAAGGATTGAGCAGAGATCTCCCTGCCCAGGAGAGGACCCCATGGCCTGATGCAGGGTGATCAGAACACCCTATATGAACCTCAGTGAGCATTCATGAGCATATGGGATATCTACACATATGTACTGTGTAAGCCAGGTCCAAACGTGAGCTGTCAGACCACCTGCTTGCATGTCTGAGTGTGATTGGCTTTAAATACAGGTTGTGTGATTTCCTTTGTTAACAAGATGGCACATTTCCTGAAATACATTAGAAATACACTTGTCCTGTCTGCCAAAGCAAGAGAGAAACATCAGGATCAGGAAACCTGTAATGTGAGCTCTATCACCTCTTATTTATCTAACAATCCTGGCAATTTACTCTGGATAAACAATAACTGTGATTTGTCCACATTGTATTGGATCACTTTATAAATTATTAGGTACAAAGGTACAAAGTAGGAGCTTTGCTTTCTATCCGGATGGTGAAAATGCTGAATAATGGATGACAGCTAACAAACAGCAAACTGCTCCTAGGGATAGAAGCTGCATGGCACACACTCCATCGTGTGGAATTTGTAATCATTTCAATGAATACTAATGCTTGACTGAGTAGCTGGAGATTACAAATAACACCAGCTCACAAACAGCCGCACAGTGAAAGTGGTTTGTGGGTTCATTAAACATCACAGCCGTCAAAAAATTACAAAACTGCTTCTCCATCACACCTGTGGTGATGGGCATAAAATTCATGTCCTGTCTGCTGCGGCTGCCCAGCTGGGCTGTGGTGAAATCGCGGCTCAGCCAGGTGGATGGTTAGGTCTGATCACCCCCAAAGCACGAAGCATCTCCAAGGCGTTTTCTCCTGCCCGGGGCAGCTCTGGCTCGCCGCATCCTCAGCTCCGCGAGCCCACAGTGACATCCTCAGTCGGGATGCGGCAGCAGCGGAGCCTGAGCCATCCCCGGAGCGGCCGGGCTTGGGGACACTCGTCTGTGTCCCCGAGGAAGGGGACACACGTGCGGGCAGCTGCAGGCTCGCCCGGCTGCGGGCTCACGGTGAGCGCGGCTGGGCAAAGCGAGCCCGGCTGTGACACGGAGCCAGCGCTCTGCGGGACAGGATGGGGATGGCTCTTGCTGATGCCACCCTTTGGTGGGTGTCACAAAGGCCGGCCCTGCGGGAGGGCTGAGAAGTGTTCGCGAGGCTCGGCGAGGCTCTGCCGGCTGCAAATGATTCACGGCGATCCCAGAGAGCCCTCCCGGCCCCTCCCGGCAGGAGCAGCCGCCGCTGCCAGGACAGAGGCTGTGCGGTGTGCTTGAAGAGGAATTCTGTGAGGCTCGAATAGTTCCTGAGGTGAAAATAGCTTTTGGAGCAATCAGAACGTGGCAAACCCCCTGGGCATTAACTACAGGCTTGTTTCACAGTTTTCTTGCTTTGCCTATGTTCTCTCTGTTCCTCACAACTTATTGGAATAGACAGAAAGTCAGGGTCTCCAGCCAGCACCCGTCTCTGTTTTGCAGCTGCTGCTCTGCACATCCCTGTGCTGTTCTCCAGAGGTGCTGACAGCAGAACTGATCCTGCCCCTGTGACAATACCTGTGAGGATGTTTCCCCCCTGCTGCCTGGAGCAGGCACCGTGCACAGGGGTTGTGCAGTGGTAGGTAACTTCATCCTGCAGAATCACCAGCTGAAACAAGTCCTCAGACAAAAGTTACTCCTTTTAGCTGTAAAGAGTGAAAAAGTGGTGGAAGAGGGAAGAGGTAATCAACTCCCTGGAGCTGGAGCTGGGGCCACAAGGACTTCTTGGTTTGCAAACCAAGAATTGCCTGCACCACGGCAGCTTAACCTCTTCCTTCTGCTGCCCATGAGGAGCAGAGGCAAAATCGTTACCCTCTATGTTCCACCTGCCCAGGGAGCCCTCCTGGCTGATTAAAAGGCAAATGAAGTTCTGCCTTCACTACTGTTTATTAAGGCACAGACCTCACGGCAGGAGCAATAAACTCATGGTGGGCGCTTTGGAGAGGTGCAGGAATGTTTCTGTGCAGAATGCAAGGATGATCTGGGAGAATACAAGGATGCTTCTGAGCTGAGAGAGGAAAGAGAAATGTAGAGATGTTCTAGGGGGTAGCAAGGATACTTTGAGGTAATGCAGTGATGCTCCAGGGCTGAGAAAGGAAGGGAAATGGGAGAAGACGCTCTGGGAGGGATTCAGGGGCGCTCTGGGGTAATGCAAGGATGCTACCAGGTTGAGAGGGGAATGTGTGGATCCTCATGGATGTTCTGGAGTAGTAGAAACACGCTCCCGGGCTGAGAGGGTACGTGGGAATGCGCAGACGCTCAGGGATGCTCTCGCAGCACGCAGAGCGGCTTGGGAGGCTTTAGGGATGCTCTGGGGGTTTCGGGACTGCTCGGGAGGGTGCTGGGGGCCGGGGCGGGAGGCGGGAGC